TAAGTGCATTTCATCCTTTCTGAAAACCTTTTATGGGATAAAAAATAACATCGGCAACTCAACTCGGAGTTCTGAAAACGAAAACTTCGATACATCTTTATGATCGAAACCAAAATCTAATGGCAAGTTATGAACTCGTGACGCACTTCGATGACGGTTTCGTAAATTGATCAAGTCACATCATCGTTGTGTTCATTAACGACGTATAAATATCTTGTAAACGTAATTGTTCGAGCTCAAAATCTTTAAGAATAATAACTTTTTTTTTTAATTTACATATTTGGTGTATATAAATAATTATTTATTTATTTATTATAAAAACTATATAGTGAAAGTTGAAAGGACATTTATCGTTGACATTGGAAAATCATGAAATGGTAATAATAAGATGAGAACGAGAGGCGGATCTGACGGCTGAAAACGACATCCCATCCCATCAACGGACAGAATCGCGCGAGATGCGCAGGTGCTCCCCCCGGATCCTCTGCTTACTTGTCCTGCATCTTCTCTATACCCTTCAAAAATCCTTTAAAATTATTATTTTTTAAATTTCTGAATGAGTTTATATAAATTTAATTAGAAAATAATTACAAAAATTTTATTTCAAAGTATTACAAACCTTTTACTATTAGATTATTTGTTGATTTAATTTTTTAATATATATTTTGGATAAAATACACAAATGGTCTCCCAATTATGGAACGTTGATTTGTTGAATCCCTCGATTATTAAAAGTTATAAAAGGGTCTCGTGACTGAATGAAGATGTTTTGTCAAATCTCCAGACTATTAAAAGTTAAAAAATATTCGTCTGACTATTCTTATTGTTCAAATTCATCATTTCTTGTTCAAAATTTGTCAATCTTCTCGGTTGCAAGTTAATTTGCTAATTAGGATGTGATAAGATCATAATTTAATAATGCATATTGACACTATTGTTGCTTTCAAGTACTGACTCAATGACATAATGTAACCGGAGAATATATTTATAAAAAACAACTCAAATGATTTTGTGATCAGATTTTATCATATCTCAGTCAACAAGTTAACGTTCAACTTAGACGACCGCCAATTTTTGACGAAAAATGATAAGTTGAACTATATGAATAGTTAAGCAACCATTTTTTAACTTTTAGTAGTTGGATGATTCCACAAAATAATATCCCATAGTCAAGGGACTATTTTATAATTTTTAATAGTTAGAGAACTCAACAAAATAATACCCCATAATCGGGGACCATTTGTATATTTTACCCATATAATTTTTACGTAAACTATATACAATATTTTGCTTGAAAATTATTTTATACTAGTATAGTAAGCTTTTAATTCCATTGATATGATTAAAATTATTGTCATTCTTCGAGCACCATGAATGTTAAGAATACTGTAAGCGTTCAATGTCAAATGATTAGAGTTATGTTTGAACAAACACTACCATAAACTTACCCTGAATTAAATAAAAAATAAGATATCAATTTTTTAATATATAAATAATTTTAAAAATAATTAATATATCTAAATCATAAAATTTGACAAATCATAACTTATACAATTCAACATCTACATACATGGTAGTTCTGTTGTACGACAACCTAATATAAGACTAAGGAAATGCGCTACAAGAAATGTTAATATTTTTTTAACATTTCCGGTAGAGTGTTACCTAAAATATTATTTTTGTCACCGAAAATATTAATTTCGCTACCTAAAATGAATATTAATTTCAGGTAAAGTCCTTTTCCCTCTTTACAGAAACAAGGGCTATAATTTGAAGACCAACAACCAGGGTTTGGATTTTTATTTATTTATTTATTTCCTATAACATGTCGAACAGGGCCAGTTCCAGGTCCTCCTAGCGTTAGAACCACATCTCCTGCATCACTTCTTAGCTTTGGATCTTTTGTAGTGCCATTAGCCGCTGAATGCCGAGAGCCACGACAGGATTCTGGCATGATGCACATCGTTGGTGACCGATAGGGCTTCAAGGGTTCAAAATTGGTCGAGTCTAGAAACGGCTGAGCGGCACCGGACTGGTGTGTTTTCGACAGACTTTGAGCGAGCATTGGCCCTCTCGGGACGAAACCCGACGACCCTAATGTTTGATCAAATAAAGTGATGGTAAGGACAAGTTTAACACACATATAGTAGGCTTTTCTAAAATAAAGAACATAAGGCTTACAGGTGCAAATAAGACCCCTCTATATATCTTCCCATTGGCACTTGCTGTCACCACTCATCAGGATACCCGAGTCGAATGCTCCGTCGACTTTACCATGAACTTCAGCGCCGAGCTGAGGTAAAAACGAAAACCCGGCAAAAGAACGAAACGAGTGGAAACATGTAGAACATGAAAAGAAATTCGATGGTGTATTCGGTACACCATGGAAATGCGGAATTTGTGGACCCTTACCATGTTGTGAATAGGCCCTGCTTCCGCAGCCGAGCATTGTGTTCCACTTCTTTGTCTGCTCGTATGAACACTGTGGATACATCGTTCCGGTTTTTGCAGGTTTTGAAATTCTCTTGTATATTGCGAATCTTATCGAGTTTTGTGGACCATATATCTGGTCTGATTATGGTTGTTTGAACCATTGTTAAGTTGACGATCGCTTTGAATCAAATGGAACTGCTTAAACAAGTTAAGGCCTTGGGAAGGAGCGGAATCCGGGGGCTTTAGTGCCAGGCCTTGTTCTTGATCAGAATGTGAAGGCGATGAATGCTGTGAGAGGGAAATCGAATGCTCTTCTTGCTCGAATCAACCTCCCCTGCCTTTGTATGGGCAGTTCTCCTCATCTTCGGGTTCGAAGTATCTAAAATGTAATGAAAATTTGAAATGATCGTATTCGAATCATCGAGTTGGCGAGCTATATATCAGATCCCCTGAGGTGAGGACCATGTCATAGTCCTAAGGTCCAAAACATGCAAATCATTCAAGTAATTCGCTCCGCCCTCGCCACTCCCTCCGAAAATCACCACCTTGTCTTCACCGATAAGTGTCGCGGTATGACTTTCACGAGGAGAAGGCGCGACACCGTTGCATTCTGCTCGTATCCACTCTTTCGAAGTAAGGTCCAGTATGTGAAGATCGTTCACCTTCTTGGATCCATTAGTACCCCCAAATACCATCATTTTCGTCCCTACAAGAACAACACCGTGACTGTCTCTAGGGCCAGGTCCCTGCCCTGTGGTTTCAAGTGTCTTCCACACCATTGTGTTGAGATTTAGCATGAGGATATCACCAAGATGTAGACCTCCGCAACACCCCTGCGACGGAAAAAAGCAATCGACTGATCCTCGTAGTTTCAGAAAGTGCAGCCACAAAAGGGAAAAAAGAAGTAGAGCATGGAAACCAGGGCGACGGACTCGAAGGCCGTGATGAGACTCCAAACGACGTCGTCGACGATCAAAAAGCTGAGAAGCGGCCACCCCATGAAACCCCATCTCCACCGCTGGATGGTGGAGTTGAATGGTAGGAGGTCCGACGCCACCCACCGGAAAGCTGACGTGGCCCATCTCCCCGCCATTAGCACACTAGCTGCACAGGTTGTAAGAACAAAAAAAGGGGATGAAGCCCTGGACTGCTAGAGGGATGGTTTTATAATGGTAAGATTAGTACTTGTAATGATGAAGCTTAACGGCTTCACATCGGATTAATGAAGGAAATTACAGGGACACATGCTGGTTGATTTATGGAATTGGGTCTGTTTATTGAAGGGTCAAATTGCTTGATTGGTCCCTACAATATGTACTTTTTGCAAATGTAGTACCGATTGCGGTCAACTATTACGTGATATTTGTTGAAACCAAATGATTTTGTTGTACCTTTATCATCTATTACTAAATTTTTGGGTTTAATAAAATAATAATTATTAATTAACAATTTTAGTAATTTTTATTAAAAAATTTAATAGATTAGATATTTATCTTCTATTAGTAAATGGTAATTTTTTTAACGAAATACTTTTTAAAGATAACTACTAAAAAATTATGAAAATTTTAATGAGTTGCTAACGAGATGCTCAACTCATTAAGCACCCTTAAAGACATAATATTTTCATAAAATATGATACAAAATTAAATGATCAATTATGTTGCATATGTCATAAGATATTAAAAGTATAATGAAAAATAAAGTTGCAGAGATTATATTTATAATTTAATTTTTTGGTACAAAAAAGTTTAGGTCAAGGGTGGTTCTCTCATCCAGGGTCAAGGCATACTTAAGATCCAACTGAGATTTACATAGGAATTTACATATTACTCACTAAGAGTGACGGTAGTAGGATTCGAACTTGACCTTACAAGCTCAAATTCTTGTATCATAACCGCTTGTGCCAACACTCGACTGGAGAGTTTATCCAAGCTTTAAAAGATCTCAAGCTTTAAGGCTATTTTTATATCTCAACATTCTAGATAATCTTCAACAATAAATTCATGTACGCTTTTATAAATTTAGTATTTTATTTTTAATGATTTAACGTAATAAATCTTATGTTAATTGAATTTAATTTCATATCTATCATGATTTAAGTTTATTAATATTATGAATAATTTAAGAATATTACAACAAAAATCATTGAAATGATAAATTGCCGGCGGACATTCACAATTTCGTTAGCCGGCAGCAATGCTTATGCGCCGGCAATGTTTTTGAAATGAGATCTAATTGCGGTTGGCTTAAGCTGAGCCTGAATGGGTTTAATCTAGTTTTAGTCCCTCGATAATATTGACATTTAAGATTTAGTCATTAAATTTTAATCTTTAATATGGAAATTCAATTAATCATATTCAACAGAAAGGAACTAAGAACAGAACGCCTTCTTCATTCCTGTTATCATCCTCTTCATCTCTAGCTGGTATCTTAGATCAAGATAAGTGCACAATTGTGCAAAATTAAAATTTTAATTGTACAATTAAATCAAGATTTCATGCGTATAAATTCATATATCGCATTGCTCATTGGATCAATATTCGAGTAAATTCGACATTCGCTTCTTTTCGTTTTCTTCCTCCTCTCCAGCACAGAAAGACAAAGAATCCATCCCTCTCAATGAACAAAATATTTTCTATTTTCTAACCTTGTAAGTTCCAATTCTGCCCACAAACAACCCCATTGGATCATATCTTAATTGATTCACCTCAGTTTCTTGAGCTTCACCTCTTCAAGATCATGTATAAAACAATCTAAAGCTGGCATATATTTTCCTTCCGGTTGAGTCTTAGCTCGGTTGACAAAGCTGCTGTTGAAACAACTTGATGGCTGTGAGTTCGAGCAATCTTAAGTGTGCAACATCCTCCAATTCATTTCGTCGGGGGTTAAGGAAGGCAAATCCGCAGCAACATTTGATCATATTCAGAAATTCACTTCAGCTTCTTCGGTTTCTCTGCTCTTCACGTCCCATCTTCGAGATCATGTATCAAACAATGTAAATCGGGCATATATCCTGCTTCTTTCATATGTAGAATAAGCAACTCTACGACCCCATGCGAACACTCGGTGTGAGAATCAACCTTATCACCAACAACAAAGCTGTAAACCTGATTTCTTACCTGAATCCAACTCCTTCCTGCCTCTTTTCTACTCCCGGTTCTTCTCATCAACTTCCTCGTTCTTGCGAATTCCCCCCACTTACCCTCGGCAGCATAGATATTTGACAAGATCACGTATGCCCCCACTTTATTTGGCCTCAAATCCAATACCTTCAATGCTGCTAGTTTTCCCATCTTTGTGAGCTTATGTGCCTTGCAAGCACCCAGAAGTGCACCCCAAACCGATTCATTAGGCTTAAATGGCATGCTCTTGATTAGTTCATAAGCCTCCTCAACTCTCCCACCACGGCCTAGCAAATCGACAACACACCCGTAAATCTCCTGATCCGGTTTGACGTTGTAAGTACTCATTGATTCGAAACACCTCAAGCCTTCATCTATTAGTCCAGCATGGCTGCAAGCACTAAGAACTGCCATAAACACTATCCTGTCGGGTCTAATTCCGGACAGGACCATCTCATCAAACAATTTAACTGCTTCTTTCCCACAACCATGTGCCCCATAACCAATCATCATAGAAGTCCATGACACCAAATTTCTATCAGACATTTCACTAAAGATTTTGTGTGAGTCGTCTATGCTTCCGCACTTGGCATACATGTCAATTAGGGCATTAGCCAACACCGGGTTCCCTTGAAGGCCTCTTCGAACAATGCCTGCATGAACCTGTTGCCCACAATTCAAAACCGCTGAATTCGCACAGGCAGCAATAATACTAGTAAATGTGAAGCAATTCGGTCTGAAGCCCTCTGATTCCATTTGTGAGAATAGCTTCAAGGACTCTTTAGAATCAAGTCTTCCATAACCAGCTATTAAGGTATTCCACGTTATAAGATCTTTTTCAGTCATCTCATGGAAGTATTCGTTTGCTTCGGATAAAAAACCACACCTGCAATACATGTCTAGCATAGAATTCATGACAGGAAGATTAGAACCGAGCCCGTTTTTAATGACAGCTGCGTGTATTTGCCTACCAAAAGTATACGAGCCTATAGTAGCACAAGCACTAATGGAAATTGAAAAACTATGGGGATTCAGCTCTGCTCCTTCCTGTTCACCAAACAAAGCAAACGAAATGAGAAACTTCAGCCTTTGTTTACTAAACTAGATGCTAAAGCATCGAATCTGGTGAACTGAAACTACCTAGGTAAAGTACAAAACGTTCAGTGCTAATGCAGAATAAATCGATATAAATTCATAAATTCCATGGTTAGATTGAACAATTACCAGTAACATTTCTCTGAAGACTTGAAGTCCACCATAGCCATCGCCCCGATGAGTGTAACCTGTGATCAAAGTAGTCCAAGTGACCATAGTTTTCTCTTTCATATCACGAAAAACCGAGCACGCATCCTCCATGCTAACGCAACACGTAGCATACATGTCCATAAGCGCATTGTCAACGTACAACGAACCCTCTAACCCAAGCTTCATAGCCATCCCATGAACCAAACCTCCACGCGCAAGACACCGCATGGATTTACAAGCCTTCAAGACATTAGATATAGTAAAAGCATTGGGGCTCTCCCCGTTATTCACCATCTCACAGAATAGAGTCCATCCTTGGACATAGTGGTTGCACGAAGTGTAGCCGGCAATCATGGCCGTCCACATAATCACATCTCTTTCAGGCATTTCGTCGAACAGAGCACGTGCGTCAGCTATCAAGCCCTGGCCAAAGAAGGATTTGATAACATTTGTGGCTAATATAGCAGACCCATTTGCTCCTTTCGTCGGGTTGGAAATGGGTATCTTTGATCTGGTGGTGTAGTTTTGGAGCCATTGTAGGGAGGGCTTGGTGTAAAGCGGGAATATTTTTCTGGCCGCGTACATTTATAGCAACGATAAAGAAGATGAAGCTAAAGTTTGTCATATTTATGTAAACCGAATAATAAATTGATTTAAATACCTATTTGATCCCTAATAATTTTATAATTATGTATTTCTTTCCAACTAGATCCATATTTTACTTGATAAACATGAGAATTATATATGTACATATATCAGGTTGGGTCAAGTGTGAAATTTTACTTTAGAACCGAGTTAAATTTCAGATCGAGTGAAACTTTTTTAAGTTCGAATCGGATGATGGATGGATATACTCAGACCATGTTCGAATGAACCAATAATTCGACCCGACCGATATCAATAGATAATGCATAAAAGGAAATACACGTAGGAATAGAGGGAAGGGAACCATATTTAACAACAAAATCGACCGTTATAACCGGAATGATATTTTAAAGATTCAATCAAAACGCTTCGAGAATCGACATAGAATCGATCTTATAGTTTGAAGACATACGATACAATTAACTCTTAAATGGTTTGACATAGGGTTTTAAATCACGGTCGCAGTCGCATTTTCGGTCATTTCGAATTTACCGTAATTGTGGCCGTCGCTGGTGCTATTGCGAGTGTAGCGGGTAACTCGGACGGCGGCGAAACCGCTATTTCACGAGCACTATCACGTTTTCGGACCGTGATTTAAAACCCTGTTTGACATTACCATTGTTTTTCACATTTCAAATCGCACTAAATAGAGAGCAAATACCAGAAGGAAAAAATGTTTTATCTCAGGGAAGATGGTATTTGTAGGTCATCACTGTTCCTTGCAAGTGAAGGAACATCATCACAAACTTTTAATGTGTAATTCAGTATACAAAGCAAAAGATGTACCATAGCCAAAAACAAAAATGGAATCTGTTTCGTTCTCGTACATATCGACTGCTTCATTTCGTTCTCGTGCACTAATATCGACTGTTTCATTTCGTTCTTGTACACTAATATCGACCGTTTCATTTCGTTCTGGTACACTAATATAGACTGTTTCATACAACACTAAAGGCTGATTGTATGGTGGAAGAAAATCTTGATCCAATGGTCTGGGTGGCAAACTGTTGAATCTGCTTCTTGGCATCTGAAAGCGACGACCAAACAAATATTTTACCGATAACATACGAGCTGAAAAAAAGAAAGCTGAAAAACGGGCAATAAAAAGAATCGAATATTCTGATGGATCACATGGTGCATTCTTTGGCACTCGAATCTTTGCACCTATGATCGTAATATCTGAGGTTCAACATCAATAATCTCTCAAAGTAAATGCAGGACAGAAACAGATCAAGTTCGAAACTAAAACCTACCACAGATCGAGAATACATGCAAAAACAAAAACAAATGTATGAATAATCATGTTCCGAACTTTTGGCCGGTTTATACCAAGCGGAATCACTACCCTGATGGCTGATATTATGCAAATCGATAACAAACATTCATGCAGCCAAATGACCGATAAAAAGTGGTATATGTTTTGCTTCTCTTTTAAACAATCATACAGGCTAGTAATGAACTTCTTGGAAAACCGATTTTGTACCGATCACAAATCTATCTCCCACCAAATATAATAGATTTAGACTCAGAAAATATTGTCTCGACTTAAAATTGTCTTGAATGTTAAATTATTCTCGACCAAGTTCTAAATAAGTAATAATCTGCAAGCCATTTCCTGGTATAATATGATGCCATACCATAATAATTTTTTTGTAAAACAATTCTTGAACGAATAGCTAGACTAAGGCTAAAAATCACACGATGTCGCATTCAACCAAGCACTGTAATTATAGTGAATAAACCTACCTTTGCGGCATTTGGTGAAGCCGACGATATTTGCAATGTTGAGAATCAAACAAACTCCGACAACGAGGAGATAATCAGCCTGAAACCTTATGAGAGAGAATACTCCAAGCACAATCCAGGCCACTGCCTGAAGAATTAATGAATTTGATCATTTGGGGCACAACCATATACCTATATCTACATAGTAAGCCATGGGATACACTTACTGAAAGGTAAAGGGTCCACCAAAATAGCCATGACTCTTTCTTGTTCATCTGGGCCAATGACTAAAACAGACAGCAACGACATAGAATTGAGAGACTTGATAATGTTAAATCTAAAAGATATATGTATGATTCGATTAAGCGAAGCGCTCACCTCTTGGTCAAGACATTCAAATCTCCAAACACTCTCACCGAGATCATTAATTTCGTTCCACCACCTCAAACCAACCAATATACGCCCACTGACATTCTTAACCACCCAAAAATCAAAAGCAGAAAGGAGGACAGTCACTACAAATATGATCACAAAGCTGTTGAAGAAGAGAGTGGAAAGGATGTAGAAGGCCAACGCCGCAGCCTGCAGTAAACAAGAAGCTAAACATCAATACGGAGAGCAGTGTATGAATCAGATTCACCGGATCGAGAAAATTAGATCCACGAAAACAGCCAACCTTGAAGAGAACATGAAAGAAACATGTCTTGGGGTTGGCATAATTTTCAACAGGTGGCTGCACAAAAAAAACGTAAATTTACAATCATTATAAAGAATCAAAACAACAGTACAGCACCCTAACCACCAACCGGGATGGACCGAGCACCCCAGGAAATTTCTAATTCTCATACTTTAGGTATTTTTTTTTCTCATTTCCTATTGATAACCTAATTTCGCACCCCTAAATGTCTAATATAAATTCCTAAATTCGCAGCCCTAATATACAATCCTGCGTTCGTCTCTTACCGCCAACCAAATAAACAGATGGATCTCGAGTTAATAACATTTCTATCTAGTTTTCAAGTTCACCATCTTTCTTCAACCAAAACATTGAGGCAACATAAAATTTGAAATCTTGGCAGTCCAAAATTGGATCTTGGGGTCTACTTTAAACAACCTAGAGTTGCTTACCAACATTTGTTTACAAATTGCCAGTTTTCATCTGTTTTATCATCAGCAAAACAAAAGGGTACCCTTCAAATCTCTAAAAACACTCGGATCTACCAGTTAACCAATCAAACCACAGCATCGTACTTAGAACAAGGAGTTACAAGATCAAGGAAATTTGATAAACTAGCAAAAATAAAAACTGAAAGAATTAAAAGAGAGATAGATCAACTCACCTGAGCGAAGTCCATTATGGGAATAAGCAAGAATTTGCTGAATTTACAGGGATTTAGTAAAAGAAATTGACTTCCTTTTCCCCTCCTAAAAACTCGAGGGATATTTTTTCTCGCAGGGGAAACCTCTCTCGGTTCTGATTCGGTTTTCTTCTGGTTATAGGTTCTGCTGAAATGAGGGATATTTACGGGAGAAGGCCCTTAATATTTTAGGAATTAATCGGTCTGTTCGGTTAACCGATTGAACCAAATTTTTAAAATTTCATGAACCGAATTTTTTTTCATTTTAACCGTTAACTGAACCAATTTTTTCGACAATAATTAACATACCCAAAAAATTCGGTTAGTCTGCCGGTTAACCGAAATTTTAAATAATATATATTAAATATTAAATATTTTCGACTAATTCGATTAATTCGGTCAGTTAATTCAGTTAAACCCGAACTTTAAAACTTCTAAAGCTATTAATATGTAAATAATATAAATAGTATATTAAATATTTAAAAATTTCAATTAATTCAGTTAATTAACCGAATTAACTGATAACTGAACTTTAAAAAAATCATTAATCGTTAACCGTTAACCGACAGATAAATAAATTTAACTGATCAAGTAACCTATAAAATTTCAGTTCAATCGATTTAATCGGTTAACTGAAATTTTGAATACCCATAATTCTCACATGTCTTTAAATTTACCACCAAATATTATGTTATAATCATGGAGCTTATTATACAAATTGACATATGAAGTTAACACTTTTTTTTGAAATTAGTATCTTTAATTTTTCTTGTTTCAAATTAATATTCAAATTTTAACTTTTTAGGGTCGAGTTCGGGTAAAAAAATATCCGACTTGACTCGACCCAAAAAATAATGTAATTATATCTTATATATTTAGAGATAATTATAATAATACCCTTCATTATATTATTATTATTTAATTATATCTTTATTTTTATCAAATAAAATTAATATTTTTTATAAATATATTTATTTTGAGTCGGGTTTTAAACTCGGATTTTAGATTAAAAAAATGGGTTGAATAGGAGTTGGGTAAAGTCGTTCTAAATCCGGATCGAGTTAAGTCGGAATTCATAGGGTGATAAAGAGTCTAATAGAATGAGAGGCTGTGGATGTAACCAAGGCTGTGGTGTGGATGGACGTTGTCTTATCCTCATCGTCTGTTGTAAGACCTTAGAGATGACCAATAAAACCTACCACTCAACCAAACCAAAGGAAAAGGCAAAGGCATGGCAAAGCTGGTGGTGTTGCAGCCAACAAAGCAGCCTCTCATCTCCCTCCTCTCCTCCTCTCTCTCCCACTTCAATGGCTCCAAGCTCTCCCAAATCCAGGTGACGACTACCTCAATTTACTTATATATACACACACACACACATACATACATACATGTTGATGGTAACAATATATGTTATGTCGATCGGAGACAGTTCACCTCTTCTGGTTTAGATAGAGGGTCACTGTCGGTAATGAATAATTCTTCCAGACTCAATTACCAACGACGACTCTTCGACCAAATCAGAAGGGGTGAAACCGTCTATATCCGACATAACATATATTGTTTCCATCAACAACACATATAGTTCTCTAGTGAAACTTGTTTCCTCTGGTTGCAGTACAAAAGGAAAGTCTGTCATCCAAAAGGAGCATTGCATGTTGTTGCAGCATCCGGCACCAAGAAAACCCTGATAATGGGCGGCACTCGGTTCATTGGTGTGTTTTTGTCTAGACTCCTAGTAAAGGAGGGTCACCAGGTTACTTTGTTTACTAGAGGTAAAGCGCCTGTTACACAGCAATTGCCTGGTGAATCAGACAGTGATTACTCTGATTTTAAGTCCGAGGTACATGATGTGCCTTGACAGCTTCTTCAATGATTGTGCTTCCAAGTTGACAATTTTAGACTAATGTGGGTGATTTTTGGTAACTAGATCTTGCATTTGAAAGGAGATAGACAGGACTTTGAGTTTGTCAAGTCCAGTCTTTCTGCCGAAGGCTACGATGTGGTGTACGACATAAACGGTACTCGTCTTCTGCGATTTGCTTTTCCATTAAGATAGATCTGTTCATCGAACCTCTTTGTTATGACTTTCAGGACGAGAGGCGGCCGAAGTTGAACCCATACTGGATGCACTCCCGAATCTAGAGCAGTAAGCTTTAAAACCATTGTTTTGTTGCAGCTAGCTAGCAACTCAATATATCGGTTTATATGTCTAGAACCGGTGTCGAAACGTTGACGACACCTTATTCTTCATGACTGCATTTTGTTCTGCTACATTAACTACTCTGCTAATTCTCAGGTTCATATACTGCTCCTCAGCTGGTGTTTACCTCAAATCTGATATTTTACCACATTGTGAGGTATGGATCGTCAATTTCATTCATGTTTCATTGACATTTGTTGTATGTATGTATAATCTCTTCTAACTCGGTGGTGACCTGGAGATAGGTTGATGCAGTCGATCCGAAAAGTAGGCACAAGGGAAAACTTAATACCGAGAGCTTACTCGAGGCGAGGGGTGTTAACTGGACATCTTTGAGGCCTGTCTACATTTACGGACCTTTGAATTATAATCCGGTCGAAGAATGGTTCTTCCACCGTTTGAAAGCCGGTCGCCCTATTCCGATTCCCAACTCCGGAGTGCAAATAACCCAACTCGGTCATGTCAAGGTTAGTGGAACCACAACACTGCTACACATGCCGGTATCAGCTATTTAGGCTGCAAATAGAAATTTATCCCTCGCAATATTGGTGAAACTCCAGGACTTGGCAACAGCTTTTGTCCAGGTTCTCGGTAACGAAAAAGCCAGCAAGCAGGTTTTCAACATTTCCGGCGAAAAGTACGTCACTTTCGACGGATTAGCAAAGGCGTGCGCCAAGGTAATTGGAACCTTTTTTCCATTGAGAAGATAAGAGATTCATTACTGAAGTCGTCGTTCTTCATCCAGGCTGGTGGATTTCCTGAACCCGAGATCATTCACTACAACCCGAAGGAGTTCGACTTCGGTAAAAAGAAGGCATTCCCATTCAGGGATCAGGTAACTCTCTTAACACAAATTTCACTCAAACTTTAGACAAAATCATATAAAGAAATTGAGAGACGTTACAGTAATCTAAATAAATGTATGATATCATAATCACTTTGTTCATATTTCCATATATTGCAGCATTTCTTTGCATCAGTTGAGAAAGCAAAGCATGTGCTGGGATGGAAACCGGAATTCGACCTGGTGGAAGGGCTCGCAGACTCTTACAACCTGGATTTCGGAAGGGGAACGTACAGGAAGGAGGCCGACTTTACGACTGATGACATGATTCTGAACAAAAGTTTTGCTCTACAGTCATAGACAATTTGTCTCGAAATCACTTTTAAATTTTTCGCCTTTTCGAGTTGGCATATAAAATAACTAAGCAAAATGGTTCTATCTCATGTTAATATAAGCTACATTTACTGTCTTTAATCAATTTGGAATGTGGAATTGCAGCCATTCATGCACATGCAATAGCATCAGTCCCTTTCTGGCATATCTAACCTTCTAAGGCATACTATTGGAAATGAAAACGCTACACTTGAATCATAACAAACACAAACAATCTAATAGAACAGTATTGTTTAAATATGTCGACAACACAGGAGTCCGAGTCGAGGCACAGATACTGCACCAGAATGAATGAATCTATGGGATTTGCCGTTTTCGCATGGCGGGAAAATCAAACAAACAGATGCATAACACTCTTGTTTCACATGATATACACGGTAAAAGTTTTCAGCTACCATTTGGATGAGTGGCTATGGAACGAGACAAGTCAGCGATTTTGTTGCCTTTTTCAGTCATCAGCCCATCGAACCCCATGTTTAGCTGAAAGATAGTACGAACCAACCGGACCTCTACCTCCGAGCTCGTAGAGCTCCGGTGCCATATTATTCTGGTCTATCCATTGCAGAACAGGCGTGATAATGCTCCAAGCAGCTGCAAGCTCATCACTTCTCAAGAAGAGATGGTTATCACCATCAATGACATCAAGCAGAAGATGCTCATACGAATCAGGCACCTCGACGGTATACCTTTAGTATGAATAAAAAATCGTAAGCGTAAAAGGGGCGTGCAAGTTGATGTCAGTGTCGAAAGTTAACAAGAGAAGTGTGCTCACTTGTCCTTATACAGCAAATTTAACTCAGAAGAATCTAACTGCAACCCTAACCCTGGGATTTTGTTGTTGATTTTCACTAGGATAGCCTCATCAGGTTCGTCACGTAAAATCAACTCATTAGTGGAAAGGTCGGTACTATGTCCGATGCGCTCACGATAGAGATTTCCGGGAACCGAATTAAATTGTATACGTATCTCTAATCTGCATTACATAAGCTAATGTACTTGGTGAGCAAGTTAAAAAGTCGTTATATATTCACAGATCTTGCCTGTGTTTGATGAGTCCAACACCAGCTTTGATCATGAATGGTACACCATCCCAACGTGCATTATCGATGTATAAGGCAGCAGCAAAAAAGGTAGGGGTCCTGCTGCTCAAGCTCACATCGACCTTGTCTCGAGAAGTAGCTTTATACTGACCGAGAATCACATCACTGGGTTCCAATTCCCGAATTGATCGGAGAACCTTAACCTGGAAGGAAGCTTCTCATTGAAAAATGCTAGGAGCTTTGAAATCGTGTTTCTCACACGAGAAAATATCAGTACCTTTTCATTTCGAATATCTTCACCGTCAAGACTTATAGGTGGTTCCATGGCTAGCAATGCTATTGTCTGGAGCATGCGACTGTGAACAATGTCCCGGATGACTCCATAACCATCAAAATACCTTCCTCTTGGCATACTCAAGTCCTCTGATAAAACCACCTGCAAAAGAACGACACAAAGAAGTAAGAAGCAGGCGGCGAGTTCCTAAAAGCAAATTTAGAGTACAAGAATTTGTAACATCAAAAAGCTTACCTGCACATTGCGGATGTATGTCCGACTCCATAATGGCTCAAAAACTAGATTTGAAAACCGTAATACGGTGAGGTTTTCGATGAGGTTCCTCCCAAGGAGATGGTCTATCCTGCAATAAGATAGACTTAAATTGTTGTAATGGAAACATATAAATTGTGTGATGTATTGAACCGTTTGACAACATAGAAGGGCCAAAAAGCATGCTTGTCCACCTGTAAATTTGCTTCTCCTCATACTTAGAGAAGGGATTTCGTAAACAGTTGAGAAGATCCAGCGTCGAATCCAAACGGTTTCTCGATTATTATACGATTCCAACCCTTCTTCGTTTGTGCATTATCGGCAAGAGATGAAGCAACGTCCTGAAGCGCTTCATGTGGAATGGAAAGATAGAATATCCTGTTTGCCCGATAGCCCCCCTGAAGTAGGTAAGCTGTTAATTATCAACTCAAAAGCATCAACTTTGAACATTAGAGTTGAAAACTTCCGGTTTTCGGCATTGCTTACTTCGATCTGCTCCATTCGAGAATTCAGCTGGGACATTCCTTCTTTGTTGTCATAACCTCCATTAAGGTAGTATGTTCTACTAAGAAACGCATTCATCTTGTCCCCACAGTCTCGCCTGACAGAGGGAATTACAAGAAAGAGATTAGGATCCGAACACCTTTACATATGTATACCTATACATAAAATAAGCAAACGCAACTATGGTTTTCTGAACTCTAACAGTCAATACACATTGGAAAAATTCTCGACGAGAAATCGGTTTGTTGAAATCCAAAACAAGTTTGCAGGCTTTAGTGCCAAACACCATCTTTAGACAATAAGCAATTAGTTTTAAAAACCTACTTACATGGAATAAACTTCATAATGCAGCTCTAGAAAGCAAATTCCATTATAGAAACTGAATCTTTATAGTAATCAATAAAAGGTTAAGAATTGAAGACAAGGATTTCAGAGGGGGCATGTTGTAACATGAGCGACGTACTGATGATCAATGCGGCAAGTCAAAGTTGAAGCGATGAGGGATCTCAACTCTTCATCAGTCAAATCCTTTCTGGAATAACCGAAGATACCGACATTCTGCAGTCAAGTAAAAGGATAAACTGAAGAATGAGAAACACCAATCACAGTTACTTTGTGCAATGGGAAAGAACTACCTATGTCCTAATGATGTGATAAAAATAAAGTCTGCAAGAAGACAAATGAGGCATTTGATATTAGAGTAGAACTACCTCCGGAAGAAAACCGCTGTAATATAGAGCAAATAATGCCGGAAAAATCTTCTTCTTGGCCAGCTCACCGGTAGCTCTGATAACAGCAATGCATAAAGAAGGTCTTCCATGATTATTATCAACATTCAAATTCGAGGAACTTGTTCCGACAGGAGGCAAAGTACTTTTCTTTGGTTGTGAAGTTGTTCTCGTCTGTTCTTCGGCAGAACCTACAAATGTCAAAAGAACCACAAAGGGACTAATATGATGAAAAAGAAATCAAATCCAAGAAAATTGATTAACAAAATGTATCTTTTCTTTTCTTTTCCAACCGTTGGACAAGGATATAGTTGATGCTGCTTCCGAATATTGTTCACCGTTCTTTGAAGGACTCTCTGACTATCTTTGTCTTGATTTCTTATTCCCTTCAACTCATGGGTGGGTACATATTGCCGACGGTTCAGCCTCTTAAGTATCCGTAGCTTCAAACCACGAAACCTCCCGCAGAAACTGCTGGCTCCTCCATGGAGCACAAACCGACTACCTCTCGACAATCGGAATTCGTTGGCTGCACCCTACATATACCATAAATAACTCACTGGATGTACTCCTACATACTAAAATCTGTTCTCTAACCCAAAAAGGACAGATTAAAAATAAACCCATTGACCTGCAATTCTCAAGACATGTCATAGGGACCAACTGTGTAATCTTAAGCACTTCCATTTACATGTACATAAAGACTATCGCCGGAGGCAATTCGCCCACACGCTTACAAAGACTATCGCCGGAGAGACTCTCCCATAAAGGAAGTCCTCCGGCCAACCATAAACTTCTGATAAGATCTTACTATAAACCCAAGAGATTTGTCAAGACCAAATCCACTAAATCCTGGCTGCATTTATTCGCCTTGTTGGCTTACGAATAACAATGACGATTCTAGTCCTGACACTAGCATAAACCCGATGGAGGGTATTCTTATTCGAATTATAGCTCACAATTCTTTCCTACATCTCTAACATCAATATTACTGGTCGGCCACCGGTTAATTACCGACTCTCCGCCCAAATCAGAAGGGATAAATAACCACAACCGATATACTCTATTTGTTCCATCAACAAGGATAAGGTTCTATCAATCCTAAAGTTCGATCCTTTATGTTTAATATGACCTCTCTGTTAGAGTTTGTTATGGTTTGTTATTAGTTGTTATTAGTTTGTTATAGTTGTTGGTTACTTGGGCTATATAAGCCACACTTATATTAGATTGTAGGCAGAGTACTTTCTTCAATGATCAATAAAATCTTTATTCTGTCATCTCTCTATCTTTAAGTTTCCTCCTCATTCATTTGAGCTTTCATCATTTTCAGCCTCCATGGCAGCATTCACACATGGTATCATTCGTCGGTGATCCTGCGACCATCTTTATTCCGCTTGCGTTTGTTGTTGTTTTCTTTCTAAACACCGATCAGTAACCGAATCCTCAACCACCGTCATTCTCTATTCACCTTCCGTTTGTTTTTTGTTTTCTTCATCGAAAATCCTTTGTTACCATGGGTCATATTCACAGTCACGGTAAAGGTATTTCTGCCTCAGCTCTGCCTTATAAGAGAACCCCACCAAGTTGGCTCAAGATCTATTCTCAAGATGCTGAGGAAAACATTTGCAAGTTCGCAAAGAAGGGCTTGACCCCATCTTAGATTGGTGTCATTCTTAGTGATTCTCATGGTATTGCTCAAGTTAAGAGCATTACTGGAAACAAGATCTTGCGTATCCTTAAGGCCCACGGTCTTGCCCCTGAAATTCTTGAGGATTTGTATCACCTCATCAAGAAGGCCGTTGCTTCCGATTTACGGCAAAGCGCATCGTTTTCCCCAATTTTTCTTCAAGAAAATCATACTTTCTGTTCATTTCTCGATTCGATCTGTAACCCCCTCAGACCGATGCGGGTAACCCGATCCGATCTGGAGTGTCACATTAGGGCCACCGGAGCGACCCACTGTAAAAATAGAGAAAAATTTAAAACTTTTCTTAAAACATGTAACGTATAAAATCATTTATTAGTATTCAGAAATAAAACAGATTTTCAGACTCGTATATAAAACAAAATACAATTACATGTCCCCTAATCACATGTATCATACTCTGAAAACAACGCCGGAAGAACTCCCTTACTGATGTCGATAGTTGCACTGATACAATTCTTTTAACCTGCAATGTTGAGTAATAGAGTGAGCTTCAGAAAGCTCAGTAATACAGAACTACCAGATGATGCTACGTGACATGTAGATAAATGGAAAGCCATATAATTTCCTTATTGAATCATACGTATACTAGTTTGTGGAATAATTTAGGGTTCCCTTAGAAGTTCATTGAGTAGAAGCCATGAATCTCAGTTCATAAGAAACCTTTCAAAGTATGACATTTTCAGGAGATCGAATAGGATGTCTAGTGTGTTCCAACAGTATAATAAAATCATAATAGGTACCCTTATCAAATGATAGTTTAGTAAATCTCATAAAATCATAATGAAATTTAACTTTTGAAACTTGTAGTTTAAACCATTCTCTTGTACACCATCCGCAGCTCCTAGAACTGCGTCCATAGGGCTTACCTTAAGCATATAGCGAAAAGGAAGCTAACATAAGGATAGGCTTTGGGGCCTGTATCCTTAAGTCCATAAGTCCATAGGGCTTACCCTAAGTACAAAGCAAAAGGGAGCCAACCTAATGGAACATCTTGGGGCCCGTGAGCCTACCTAAGAGTCACATTAGGTCCGTCAAAGTTTTTCAGCTTGATCAGAGCTGTACTTTATAAATCCGTATCAAAAATACAATTGCACCGTGACATAAATTCCATAAATCCATATACATGGTAATCAAATACCAGTTCAAACCAAAAATCAGATAGTCGTCTTAATCCATAAAACATCACAATAAATTGGTGCATCAATAAAACAGGAGCCATAGAATTCAGTGTACCACATTTTAAAACAAATAAAATAGTTCAGTAATAAATAGGGAACACGCTAGAGAATCCAAGTATTTTCAGAGGCCATTGTAGTTATCATTATGGATAACATGAAACTTATGAAATTTGATCGAATTCCAGGAACAAGGTCCTATTGAGGAGAATCGATTACTAACCGATCTAGCCAGACATTTAAGGTTGATACATTAGAATCCCACTATATTTTCGTGTGCATTAGGAAAACGTTTAGGAACCTTTATACATAATAATTCTAAATTCAGATTTACTGCGAGTGATTCCATTACCCAAATAATCAGGGGTATTCAGGAATATACTTTGAATTCATAGGATTTCAGCCCAATTGAACCAAATGAGGTATTCAGAATCTTTTCCTTCTGCGTTACTTGCTTTTTCAAACATGATCGAAGTGATTTTAGATGAAATATAGAATCAAAGATTCAATTCATTTACAATCTACGACTATCGATTATATTATCAAACAACTCGAGTTACACAACTCCCAAACTGATGCATGTCAACAAGTCAATTCATTATCCTTCCAGTGTATTCACTCTTTAATACCATAATGCAGATCCATAGATCATCCCTTTAATCATCACAAAATAAATCTTCCAACGGTCTTTATTTCATTTCCACGTTTCAACAATATCAGGAAATACTGACGTACTTGATCCATGGCTCATAACCCATAAGGACAATTCATCATGTAAGTTCAACAGTGTTTCCAAACTCATCCAATGACCTATTTAATCCTCAGTCATTGATGTTACTTAGTTCGTTTAGTAAGTAAGTCTATCCCGATTACTTTAAAGTTTTCCAGAATAATTCAGACGTTTCTGAATTTCAAATACACGTTGTACTTCATTTCAGTTCAATTTATTCATATAATAAAGTCATTCTGGTATTCGTGGTTGATTTGACTCACAAATACCCACTTATTAGTACTGTATGCGCTCTAGAGTTGAGCTGAGCCAAGTACTTCCAGAATTATCATCGATCCAAATTTAAGAAGATGAACAAACATTCAAGTGGTACTTATATCATTCAGGTAATGATATAGCACTAACGTTGGTCGATCACTTAAGCTGCGTTCCGTAACTTTTAAGAGCAGTACAACATCCATGTTCATTTGAATTCCTTAATTAATCCAAGACATTTACTTATTCTAGGCCAATAGGGTATTTTGGTCATTTTAGTGCTCAATATTTTTCTATTCATTTCAAAGCATGAGCATATCCATTCATTCCTGAGCTTGGTGACATTCTTGAGTCATTTCTATTCCAGGGGTATTTTGGTCATTTTACAAATCTAGAATATTTCAATCATTTCCTTCCTTTCGCTCTTATTATTTAATTCAAACTTATCATTTATGTCAGTCCCTTTAAACTATTCTGACAAAATATCACCATCGATAAGTTATTATTCTTCACGTACTTACTCAAGTCAGAGATTTCCAAGTTAAATGCCTTCTCAGATGTTACTAACGGATTATCAGAATTTTCCATACAAAAATAGGATCTCAATAATCAAATCAGTAATTTATCGGTTTAAAAACAAATTCTCATGTTACTTCCTCATTCAGAGTCAACTTGGACTATTTTTACCTCTCAAGGGCATTTTCGTAATTTCTTAATCAGATAATTTTGGTATTAACTCTTAACGAAAATGATTATACTTTAGAGATCCAATGGTTAATTGTTTTTCCGAACATTCTTTGATCTTGAAATGATTCCTTCACAAACTCTCCTAGGATTAAAACCGGTTATCCATAATTTCCAAATAAAACTAACATTTCTTATGCACATCAGTAGTTATATCGGATCAATATGTCTTTTCAGAGTTATTAACCAACTTCCAGGGACAATTCTTGTCATCCTACAACATAAGGGTATTTTCGTAATTTTACCCTACCGGAATATTCTCATAATTTCCCATCCAAGTACTTTTAACATTTAACCTATGATGATATAAAATATAATTTACAAATCCATGTTTGATTTCTTTATCACTAATCACAAACTTGTAATTTAATTCTAACAATCTTTCAATCTCTTATATTAGTCATTCGATCCATATTCAGTTACCGAATTTCTACCACATTCATATCGAGTGTATAAATTAACCAACTCCACAAAAGTGACCAATATTATCTTATTCATGCATTTACCAATATTAGCATGTTTCATAAAGCATAAAGAGGTAGTAAAGTATTACCTCGATTTCCGTGCAATACTGATCGACCATAAAAATTATATTCGAACGCCTTTGATCTTCAATTCAACTTCCAATAATTCCTCAGATACATATCAACATAAATTATATAAAAAACGGAGCTTAATTACTATAAACGGATCGAATAGGGTGCTAAATCAGTGAAAACCAGCTTACCGGGTTCGAATTTGGCGAAACGGACTTCGGATTCGGATTCAGGACATCGAAAGCATAAAATATGACTTTTGGAAAATTTGGAATTTTCGGTCAAAATCAAAGTCAACGGGTTTGACCGGAAATTTCTAGGTCTTCGGGTTCGAATTTCAAAAACCAGACTGCGAAATCGGATTTGGAACGTCGAAAAATGACAGGATAGGTATACTCGGTCAAAGTCAAAGGTCGTTTAATTCCCGGTCAAAGCCAGTCAAAGTTTTGGTCAACAGTGGTCAACGCCGGTCAACGGTCAACGGGTCGGGTTGGGTCAATGGGTTGGGTCAGGTCGGGTTGTGCCCGGTCAAACCGGTCAACTCTACTCTAAACCTGGTCAAACCGGTCATTTGGACCATCCCCACGCGCAGTGACGGCGCGTGGGGGCCCCTTCCGGCTGCCTAAAAATCATGGAAAATTTCATAAAAATTATTTTGAGCGATTCCGAGATACTTACAAAGCTCGGTTCACAATTTTGAACGGCGGAGAGCTCGATTTCAACGAATCAGAAACTTTGAACGCTTTACCTCCTCACGCACCGCCGTCGACGGAGACCAAGGATGACACCGGCGGACTCGGAACGATGCAAGGAACACGATGGTGCGGGAGGTGTCGTAAACGGATGCTCGGATCGTCGTGAATCGATGAAAAATCAATTAAAATCGAGTTATTACCGACGATACTTCCGACTGAAATTAACGACGAACGGTGACGATTCACGATGAAAGGTTTGAGGGGTTTTGTTCCTCGCTCGACAATGAACACGATGGTGGTTTCGGCTCGTCGATCGGATATCAGACGGCGAGTGGATTGGAGTTGAAAGAGGGGTTGAGGGGAAGAGAAAAATTGGAAACATACTGGAAACTAGGTATGGCAAATGGGGTTTATAATTCATCCCATAATAAAAATGGGTAAACAATGAGTTTAGTCACTGAACTTCCTGCACTTCTTAAAACAGTCTGTCAACTTTGAAATTTTACAATTTAATCCACTATTTCTTTCAAAATATCAATTAAATCCACCACTTTATAATTTCTTAAATTTAACCCCTAAATTGGGGTGTTAAACGATCTCTTATTTTGCAATGGATGATTCATCGTCGTATTCAAATCTTCCAACCAGACATTTACTCGGCTCAGTTCCATCTGTTATAAATGAAGAAAAGAAGGCCTCATTTGCAGTACCTGAAGCGAATATTCAATATTTCCCTCCGAATAATGGCAGTGGAGGAAGTAGAGGTCGAGGTTATCAAACTCTTGAAGCTCCAACTGGAAGCCTTGAACAACATCCACCAAACAACTGGAAGGGAGTGTTTAATATCTCATCATACACACAATATTTTAACGTGGATACAGATGTTGTGATAAACAGACTGATCAGTTCGTTTTATCCTACTGGTAGAGATTTTTTCAGCAAGATTGATACTAACCCTAATTTGTATGGGCATATTTGGATCACAACTACATTGGTCTTCATGCTTTCTTCCTTTGGAAACTTTGCCACATACCTTATGAAAAATCATACCGATGGCACTACTTCTTGGAGCTTTGATGTTGGCTATGTAAATGTAGCAGCTTCTGGAATCTATGGTTATGCAATTGTGGTGCCACTGGCATTTTACTTCTTGCTTCAATATCTGGGTTCAAATGCTAGCCTTATACGTTTTTGGTGATTTGGATCGCTACTATTCATGTTATTCGTTTGTATTGTGATTTTGCTGCTATAAATTGTTGATGGTTTGATTTTAAGGTGACCATTGAGTGGTTCAGTTGGTGCATCTACTGTTTTGTTGGTTATGCATTTTTCCGTTCGGTTCTCCAATCATACAACAGCTTTAAGGTGTTCATAGAGTATCGTTCATCACTTGTTACTTATTCTCCAAAGTTTGACATGGAACTTTGAGGCTTAACAGCCAAGTTACCATAGAAGAAAATCTCTGGGGAGGGTTAAGAGTTTAACAGTCTTGCCTTCCTTAACCAGACAAAATAGGATGTTTTCTTGCCCAAGAGAGGCTACAGATTGCATCCGGGAGCTCGTAGCTTAACCGCCTTGCTTCCTGCAAAAAGAAAGTCCCAATAAGTGAAGAGGAAGAATAGTGAAGATGAAAAACAACTCTTGAAAAGAAGAAGAAGAAAAGCTGAGGAAAGTTGAAGAAAGAAGATGTTTTAGGTGAAAGAGAATTTGTCCGGTAAATTGTTCATCTAGACGGCAAGACGGTTGAATTCCAGCTTATTAAGTTTGCACTCTTTGTTTGATCAACTTTCTAATAGCAAGTTCATTTAAAAGAAAATTAAAAGGTGGAAAAGTAGAGTGAATGTTAGAGTTTGTTTTGGTTTGTTATTAGCTTGTTATTAGTTGTTATTAGTTTGTTGTAGTTGTTGGTTACTTGGGCTATATAAGCCACACTTATATTAGATTGTAGGCAGAGTACTTCCTTCAATGATCAATAAAATCTTCATTCTGTCATCTCTCTATCTTTAAGTTTCCTCCTCCTTCATTTGAGCTTTCATCATTTTCAGCCTCCATGGAAGCATTCTCATACTCTCCGATCACAACAACTGAACCCTCAACAAATCTACAGATTCTCAATCAACAAATGAAATTTGTACAAGGCAATCTATAAACTTTCAATCAGAAATCAGAATTGCATACATGAGATGAGGTATGATAGAAGCTTACAGGGAACAGAGAAATGGATGAAGCGATTGAAGATTCTGGGAAAGTGAGCGAGAAACGTGAAACCGGAACATGCATCCTTGTTGTTTTGAGTTTGTAACTCGTAGTAGAGTAGATAAAACTCTATACATGTACTTGATCGAAGTGAAGCAAAAGGTAGAAGATGAGTGCAGCTGAGGTAGAGTAGTTTTGGTTGCAGAAGATAAAAGAAGAAGAGCCCGAGAAGGAAGTGGGCAGTAAAATCAAGTCCAAGGGTTAAATAATATGTTTATTGTTGATGTTCTTTGTCGTGTTCTTCCATATCTTTACTCATTGTTTGTCAAAGGAAGAAGAAAAAACATCACTTTCAGTTGTGGGATTGTGGTTGCATAGAAATGGGTAAATTACCTAATTGGTCACTTTTATTTCTTAATTGGTCATTTTTTGTCATCGAATTTTAAAAAGTAATATTTCACTTATATTGTTCATTTAATATATTAGTAAAATGGGTTATTTTTAAATTTACTCAATAAATTTTAGATAAATTATCAACTTAACTCCTAAATCTAACCAAAATCATCTACCACCGATCGTCGGATCAACGACTGTTGGACCTAAATTTTTATTTCATTTAATTTTTACACCATGAACATAAATCAGACGAATGTTTCATAAAAATAATTTCAAACTCCATAAATTTAATAACATCATCAAACTAACAACATTTTACGTTCCATGTCATATTCGAACCCAAAACCTCTAAAAATAACAATAATCACTTTAATCACCGTGAGAGCTTGATTTGTGTTGGTATTACAGATAAGACATGAAAATAAACACTGATATTTCCTTCTCTAGGTCGACCATTACATACAAGAAAACATGTGAAAGTAGGCATAAGTTGGTCTCCATCATCTGCCATGGACGTTACAGTCTCTACAAATATATAGAAGTGGGAAGATCATATCTAAATCTGTCAGCTTTTACAACACAAAAGTGACTCAACAACATAGCATGCATGCAACTACAATCAACTGCATACATAAACAAAACATCATGGCATAATACATTTTTGCTTCAAAACCACGATCCCAGATATGGACATTGCTTTCTTGCATGCTCCGGAATCGGCTTCACCGATATCTCCATCGGAACACCCCCTCCATTCTGGTAGACACGATAACATCACCGAGTAATAATCGATCATACATCTTTAACAATACAAGAATGCCTATTTCAAAGAAAATGTTTTTGTTTTCTCGACCATTCCTTATCGTGAGGTTTGAAGTTAAACAATGGCGGAAGGAAACGGGCATTCGGATCGCGCAACTCGTCCTCATATGCACAAGCTTCCTACCTGTCCAAGTAACATTTCAGCAAGGACACAGCCAACAGACCAGACGTCAATAGCCGTAGTGTATTCGGTTGCTCCAAATATTAGTTCAGGTGCTCTATAATACCTCGAGCAGATGTAGGGTATGTTTGGTTCCCCTTTGACCTACCAAGATAAGAAAATGTGATATAGTAAGACCTAAGCAAAACTCAAAGATTCATAGACAGAAGTACACACAATAGAGATAACAACGTACCAAGACTTTCGCACTTCCAAAATCACATAGTTTAACTTGATGAACGTGGATTTACCTGGAGGGAGGAAAGAGTAAGCCATCAAGATCATGTTGAAAAATAAGAGGATTGACTTGACAAGTTCAATACCTTTGCAGGTAAGGGGTTCTAGAATCAACAAACAAGGAGGCACATGTCACAGTAGAAAGAGAGATTTGAACATACCGAAGGGTTGAGGTTTGATGTCCCGATGACACACACCGATGCTGAGATGGATGTAAGACAAAGCCCTAAATATCTACCAAACATCAACCTTTATTAGAGATTGAATTTTCATGTCATTCATCTCCTCGGGTAACTTCTCGACACCAGCAGCACTAGATTCTCTTACACCAGCAGTAGTAGGCACCATGCCCGGGGAAGCCATCTTTAGGACAAAATAGTGTCCTCCTAATTTTCCACCTCACAGCCAATCATTTATCTTACGTTGCAGAAGGGCAAAAATAGATGTTACTGAAACTCAACTGAGATACAACCAATATGTTAAAGAACAACCTCCATCATTAACTGCACCATGAAGACTACAACAGCCAATCATTTATCTTACATTGCAGAAGGGGCAAAAATCATCCCTTTAAAAACATTTTGAGGATTATTCTAATAGATTAATCGATGTCTAATTCAAAATTATCTATTACTAATTACATACTGGAAACCCACCTCTCATGTTTTTTTTCTTTCTTATGATCTCTTGTTTTTGCTTCCCAATAACAGAGAAAAATAAAACAAAATCCGAAACAAGAAACCCCAAGCCACAGTGATGAACAAGCAGCTCCATTGCTTAGATCAGTGATCCCTTCTTGTCCGAGAATATCAAAACCTGTGGTCAAACATGTCGAGCTTGTAATCCTCACCCCCAAGCTCCTGCTTATTGACAGCAACAGTCGCTCTTTCATGGCTGCGGGAACTGCTCCAAGTGGTGAATTGTCGAATATTTGAATCCCTTTCACAAAGCACTTTGTAGGGTTCTCGAATTCATTCTGCAGAACTGCTTCGTACGGGTATTTCACCAGGGACATGTAATGGAACCATATCCAGTAGCCTGGGATCCGGTTTCGGTTGATGAAGAAGCCACTGAAGAGTAAGAAGTATGCTAAGATGGCGACCACGATCGTGTAGCCTAACATCACGTGTGGGACGACGCCCGAGAGGAATGTCACGAACGAACTCCCGGACCAGAACGAAGCGAACATGATTAAGAAATAGAATAGGAATCCGGACGATCCGCCGTCGAGGCCGACCGCCCAAAACGTCGTCATGGAGAAAGCAAAGGAGAGGAAGATCAGGCCCGGTAGTGTCACCAAGGCATTTGATATTACGTATGAGAGTCTCCTGTATGCGTTGTGAGCAGTTTCTCTTATGAAGATGTACCTTTCTTGGATGAACACAGGCAGAGCGTCTGCACATGTGTAGAAGGTGGTCGACATGGCGAATGCGAAGAATCCTAGCCTTTCTTGTACCCCTTTGGGCGAATTATCGAGCTGCCAAAACACCGTCGCCAGGATGAACCCTGTCACTAGAACTGCTCCCAAACGGATACCGAACAGTTCCGGCATCCGTCTCGAATTCAAGATGGATCGGTTCGACAGTACCACCATTTCTTTCCAGAATGGATTCGCAAATTTCGGAACCATGGAAGTTGAATGGACATCATTCGTAGCACCCGGAACGAGTTTACCTCGAGAAATACTCGCGCTGATTGCTTCTTTCAGCGACAAACCGAGCCGATCAGGCTCGGAGTCTCTCGAGTGCTTCCTGCTTTGCCATGACTTGTTGAATTCAACCAAACTCTTTGTTCCTCCGGGAGATGCTTCGAGCTCTCGGATTAAGTCCAGAGCAAACTCTGTTTTGTTCTCGTTCTCGGGTATGGGATACCCGAACTCGGAGAAATACAACGGCAGATTCATCGGTGAACCGCTGTAAACAGTTTGTCCACGAGACAGAAATATCAATCGGTCAAGCAATCCAAGAATACGAAAGCTTGGTTGATGAACCGACATTATAACAATGCTCCCACTTTGAGCAATCCTCTGTAAAACCTTGATCACCATGAAAGCACTGGTCGAGTCGAGCCCCGACGTCGGCTCGTCCAGGAAGAGGATGATGGGGTCATGAATTATATCGATTCCGATCGATACACGACGACGCTCTCCGCCGGAAACACCTCGATGGCCTTCGTCCCCGATTACTGTTTTGGCAGCGTTTCTTAAGCCTAATTGATCGATCAAAGCTTGAACCCTCATCTTCTTCTTGGATTTGGACAAAGTACGAGGAAGACGAAGCTCAGCAGCGAACATTAAGGTTTCCTCAACAGTGAGCATTGGGTAAAGCATATCATCTTGCATAACGTAAGCCGAAATCACCTTCAACATTCTTGATTCCAAAGCTTCGCCGTTTAAACTCACTTTCCCCTTCAAACTCCCTTTATCAATTCTGTCCGCTAAAGCATCGATCAGAGTCGATTTACCCGAACCGCTAGCTCCGAGCACCGCCGTTATCTCCCCGTCTCGAGCCTCCCCGGAGATATCGTTGAGCAGCGTCTTGGTCCTCGTGAAATAACTGTCTCCGCCGAGTGAATCTCCGACGACAGTGGCCGCGCTTCCACCCCTCCGATGCAAGAAACCAGGCAACGCCATTTTGCGAGGGACCTTTACACTGTAAGTAAGGTTGTTAAAGGAAAGAACGAAGGGTATCGGGCGTGGCTCGGTGACGTCGACGAGGACTTCATGGACGGGAGTTTCGTCGCCGGTGGCTTCTTTCCGCGCATCACCGACGTGTTGGAGTAATTGGCCGAGAGTCCGGGTAGCTCCCGTGCCGGTTGAAAATTCGCCGGCGATAAGCTCCAGAGAGTGTTGAAAAAACCGTGAGGAATTGTTAGTATCGTCGTACAATATGTTTCCGGGGACAACAGTAGACATCATGGGGTTTAGCTTCAACTCCTTTTTTGTGTAGAAAGAAAAAATGTCAGCCAAAGGCGACGGTTTTGGTCGTTTTTAAGACAAGAAGATGAAGATGTTTCTTTGGTGTTGGTTTGGGATAAATGTATTTATATAGGAATTAATTCTGAATTTAATTGTTAATTTTATGTAATGGAGAGGTCACCTAAATCATCTAATCTCAAGACATTTCTTCATTGAGTGAGTGACACGTGGTGTTATGGGGGGGGGGATTTTGAGTTTGGTTGGACGTTGATCGACTACGACGTAAGCTTTCCTCTAATGGGATTTTAATATTATAATTTGACCTTTTTTTTAACATCTTCCAATGTCAAATGCCAATTATCCATATAATATATGACAGATTATAAGTGATTGTAAATATGAGGATATGTTACTGGGAAGTTATACCGTGCGATAGTTTTAATATACGATTAAGTAAAGATGTTATTGATTTTATTATTATTTTTTTAATAAAATCTGTAAAAATTTAACTAAAATATTATTATTTCTACCTAAAATATTAATGTTTTTTAATATTTCTGGTAAAATGCCTAATAATAATAAAATTAGTAGAAAAAATAATATTTTAAGTAACGTGTTACCAAATATGTTAACAAAACCGGTAAAAATAATAATGTTATAGATATTTTTTTACCGATTTTATTAAAAAAATAATAACAAAACTTATAACATATTTTCTTAACCGTATATTAAGGGTTCTTAACCGTATATTAAGGGTGCATCACGTTATACTTTTCCTATGTTACAAGTTAGAAGGAAATAAACATGATGGAAATTGTACTAATTGTTGAGGGAGATAGTACTAAAGCCTCGTTTGGTTAAAGGAATGTTATATTTTCAGAGGAATAGAATCCTCATTTCTCCGTTTGGTTGGCCGATAATTTCATTCCCGGTAATCTTTTATTACCAACAGTGGATGTTAGGGTATATTACCGGGAATGTGATTACCCCTTCTCTTAGGTATTGTTGGATTACCGATATTTTTGACTAAAATGCCCTTAAATATTTTTCTCAAAAATAGCATTCTTCTGTCGTTGAATAATAAAAATTCTACGAAGGTTAAAATAAAATTTATACGAATGTTAAATTAAAAATTTATCCTTAAACTATTTTATATTTACAAAAAAATTATAATTAAAATTTTAAATGAAGTTCTGGGGTTAAAAATAAAATTTTACCCTTTCATTAAATATATTTATCTTTTCATTTTTGTAAAAAATTATAAATTTTATGAATTTAAATTTTTTTAAAAATATATATAAATTAATTATAGTAATATTATAATAGAGTTCAAATTGTTAAAAAACAAATATATAATAAAAACAGTTTGGTGAAATATACATTTCAATAATATTTTATTCATTTAACCAAACACGGTAATCTTACATTCCTGCTAAACCAACCAAATACAAAATACAACATTCTCAGTAATCTTATTCCCTGGTAATCTTACATTCCGTGAACCAAAATCACTCGATTAAGATGTTATGGGTCTAAATTCATGGGGCGAGTGACACGTGATATAATGGGTTTTTGAGTTAGGATGGACGTTGATCGACTATGAATTTGTTCAAGGTAAACGACGGCTTTTGTTTTTTCTATCAACTAGAAATGTAGTATTATATTTTAGGGTAATTCCACATTTAATATTTAAATTATATGTTTTAGTCTATTTTAGTATTTAAATTTTTATTTTTTTAAAAAAACATACTTAAAATAATTAGTTTTTATTTTATTTTAGTATCCTACTATTAAAAATTAAAAATTTTGTTTCATTTTTGTACCTCTGTTCAAATTTTTGTTTAACATTAAATTTTGATTTTTTTAAAGTTTAGATACTAAAACGGATTGATATTAATAATTTAGATACTAAATGCATAAAGTTTTTAACGACAGGTACTAAAATGAAGTGAAAACTAAATGCATAATTTACCCTTAATTTTAAAATGTTATATATTATTTTGAAAAAAATTAAAAGGTTAGATATTAAATATATCAAAATTAATAGTTTAAGTACTAAATTCATAGTTTACCCTTAATTTTAAAGTAAATGATAGGATTTAAATTCACATAAATAAAATAATATGATTATTCTTAATCATTAGACAAGACTAATAAATCTCAATGATATTCATACATTGTAAGCTGTAAGTGAAAAAAAATTTAACAAATGATATTCATATGACATTAAATATAATTTTAGATAAATATAAAAAAATTAAAATAAATAATAAAACATTTGATATCATTTCTATATTATTTGTGAATATTTTTTTCACTAACAATAGAACAAATAATAACATGAAAAGTCTAATGGAATGGAATAGAAGTTCAAGGGTCAAAGGGAAAAACTTTTAAGGACTAATGTGGGAAGAGCATACAAAATTAGGGATCAAACATATAATTAAACCAATAGCAAACTAGCCAAAGAAGCTCGTTTTCTTTCCATTTTCGCATGTATATAATCAATTATTTTCAATTTCTCTTAATTTTGCTGCTATTTTTTTGGGGTGTTTGGGTGGGGGGAAGATCCAGATTTACAAGATCCAAAGAAACAGGTAACACACTTCATCTCTCTCACTCTTCACCTTTACTTTCTTTTTTGAAGTTCTGTTGACATTGTTTCCTCCTTGAATTTGATGTGATTCACTTGTATTTTCCCCTGTATATTCGACTCTATGCTTTTACAGCTTCATTGAGTTCCATCAATATAACTTCGCCTGTATACAAGTACGCACTTCTCGTTTAGAGTGTTTAACCAGAATGATCCCACGGTTTTAGGGTTTGTGAATTGTGAATTGCTGTTTCATGCTGTTTTGCAGGGTTTCATATTTCCTTTGTTGGGTTAGATTTAGAAAGCGAAGAAAATGGATGATAGTTGTGCTGTTTGTGCTGACACACTTGAGTGGGTTGCATACGGGGCATGTGGCCATCGAGAAGTTTGCTCGACTTGTGTCGTTCGTCTCCGTTTCGTTTGCGGAGACCGCCGTTGCTGCCTCTGCAAGTCCGATCTGAAAACTATCTTTATTACCAAGGTTTGTCATTATTCTTCTGTTTTTGACTTTCACATCTGATAGTACTGAATTAACAATGTATGCTCGGAGTTTATGTTTAATGATTTTTACAGGCTTTGGGAGATTATACCGAGGTGATAAATGATTTCGAGGCTTTTCCGGCTGGTCAGATCGAGGGCCGAGTTGGGTCTTACTGGTACCATGAAGGGACAAAAGCATATTTCGATGATCTGGATCACTACAAGATGATAAAAGCAATGTGCAGGCTATCTTGTACCGTTTGCGATAATAAGGATGAGCAGCGAAATGCTAGATCGGAGAAGAGAGCAGAGTTTAAGAACATCGAGCAGCTTAAGAGTCATTTGTTTAAATGGCATAGCCTGCTTATATGCAGTCTGTGTCTCGAAGGTAGGAAGGTGAGATACAGTTGGTTATATTATATGATGAAATAAGATGGTTGTGTTTCTTTCCATAGATTAGAAAAACTATGCTAGGTACATTATTTGTCTGGAACTAGAAAACCTATGTGATTCGGACTCTGGTATGAGAATTTTCGTTCTGTGTACCTCTGTGCTGCACGATGACATATTCGACATTATCTTGGATTCTTGAGTCAGGTCTTTACGTGTGAGCAAAAGTTATATACTAGAGCACAACTAGATAAGCATATAAAGACAGGTGATTCCGAAGTTGATGGCACTGAAAGTGGAAGGGGAGGATTTATGGGGCATCCTATATGTGAATTCTGTCAAAATCCGTTCTATGGGGAACACGAGCTCTACCTGCATATGTCTACCGAACATTTCACTTGCCACATATGCCAAAGGTAAGCCATATCATTGTGGTATAATAATAGTTCAGAGATTGCAAATGTTAGGTAATGCCAGTTCTCCCATGCATCCAACTTCTATGGCTCAATGCAGGCGACATCCGGGACAATATGAATACTATAGAAATTACGACGAAATGGAGGTCGGTGTTCATTTCCTTTTTTTACCCTTTCTTGTTGCAGTTGTTCTATTTCGATCTCCATAGCATCAAAAAATTTGCTGCAGATCCATTTTAGTCAAGAGCATCATTTATGTGAGGATGAGTCCTGCCGTGCCATAAAATTTGTTGTTTTTGCGACTCAATCCGAATTGAAGGTCTGTTGCACACAGTAATATTTTGATGCTATGGAGATCGAAATTCTGCAGAGACATAATACCGTCGAACATGGTGGACGCATGTCTCGTTCCAAGCGTAATGCTGCACTGCAGGTGCATTTGGATTTTTTAGAATCTTCAATATCCCTTATCTTATTGTTTTGGAATGCTGCAGTTTAGACAATTCTTCACTTTGTTCTGTTTCTTTCCATTATATCTAGATACCCATAAGTTTCCAGTACCGGCGGAGTCATGAGCGAGATGATCCAGTAAGAGGACATGTTACCTATCCTAATTCATTTGATGGTCAACTTTCGTCGGCCATGCAAGCTAGTCTTGTGACTGTGAGTGCTGAAAGTTCCCATTATACTTCTACAAGCAACAGGGCGGTTGTAAATAGCGGAGTAGCCTCTGTAGTTGGTTGTTTCGAGGCATTAGCTACAATAGCTTCCGGGCCATCTTCAAGATACCAAGCACTAGAAAACTCTAGGGTTGAACTTCTTGAAGACTCGTCATTTCCTCCCCTTCCTGCAGCGTCAAATAGCAGTCGACAAAAAGTTAGAAACGGTTCACAAGGATCATCTAGAAGGAGCATTGCTGCTCCGTCACGGCACCGAAACAATGGGACATCAAATGTTGTTTCTAATACTGCTCAGGCTTGGCCTGCAGCGAGTCTTCAACCTATAATGTCAACTACGAATAACTCGTCTGGCTCTTCCAAAAGTAAGCCCGCTAGGATTAAGGAATCTTCACCAAAACTGGAAGATTTTCAATCAGCTAACAAGGCTCTAGTGGAAAAGATCCGTGTTTCTTTGGAATTTGATCGGGACAAATTCTCTGCTTTCAAAGGGATAACCGGTAAATATCGGCAGGGTATTATCAGCTCCGAGGAGTATCTTGCCTATGTACATCAGTTCGGTTTGTCGCATCTTGTTCTAGAGCTAGCTGTGTTATTACCCGATGTCGAGAAACGAAGAGAACTTGTGGAGATATACAATTTTAACATAAGCAAAGGCTATTCTCACAATGATGTTGGTCAATGGAAAAACAGAGAAGGGTCCAAAAAAGGGAAGGAGAAGTGTGATGACCATGGCATTACTGGTTTAGAACATGCTTCGGCTCACATGTCCTCACTGGGTTACACTAACAAAGGAAAATCAAAGGTTTCGAGTGATGAAGCGGCCAACTCACATGTCCCTGCCCAGTCTCAGATGGAGCTAGACGTTGGCGGCTCAAGCGGAGGGGGAAATAAACAACGGAAAAAACTCCCCAAGTTCCTTAGAAATCGCCTAGGTGATGCTTCGACCGCACAACTTGAAGAAGATAGAAAGTGTGAGATTAAAGAAAAAACAGGTGAGAATAAGGAACCACCAGAAAGATTGCCGGTCCACGGTGTATGGCGAGACGGTGGAGGGCAGAGACTTATGGCAAAGACCCAAAGAATAGCTAGCAAACAATATTATACATATGTATGATATATATACAGATATATTTCAGGGCTGATAGATCTGACTGACTAGTGATTGCTTCCCATGTGTTATTGTTGAAGATGTATGTTGGTTATGGTAGGTAGGAATGTGTGCATGCATGTAATGTGCTACTTTTGACCACAAAATTGGAACTCTTGGTTGGAGATATTGCAGAACATGTATATGTATATGTATATGTATATGGTGCTTCATAATAAACAAATTAATATACAAGCAACTTCAACCAATGAAAATGGAGCAGTTTCAGTTGAGGTTAAGCAAAGAATCTCAAGAAGAGCTAACCCTATTCCGTACAACAATCTTATCTCAGGCTTCACAACACCAATTTCATACACAGAACAAACCATCTCTTCCATCTACAAATTATACTATTGAAAATACAAAAAAAAATAAAAATTGATGACAACACTCCCTACTTATCAACAACAGCTAACATGGAGACAAATCCGACATCGGCTTTTTAACACTAAACAAATTTTTAAGAATCCCACCCTTCTTTTCTGGCCTTGTATGCATTCGAATTCAAGGTTGCGTTCGCTTACTCTATCGCCTTGAAGCTGCACAATCGCTCTTATCGGTATCGGAGTTCTCCCTTTGTGAATCAATTTCCACACTGTTTCCATGAGTCCTACGGTGCCTTCGGTCCTGAGTTCAGAAACTTACCGAGGTCATCAAAACGGAACAGCAGATAAAACCACCATGCACTTCATGCATGTGAGACCATCTATTATAAGTACGACCAAGTGAATCCGAGTGTTGTATGTAATGCCACAAACACTAACCTCTCTTGGTATAGGATACTCCTCGGACTCGAGCATTCGTGCAACTTGACTTATCTTTGGTCTTTTTTCAGAATCCGGATCGACACATCTCAAAGCAGTTAGAAGGGTGCGCTTTAGAGCTCTTGTCGATGGTCTAACCTCGAAATTTGGGTCTACCACTTCTTCTGACCTCCTGTTTCCAACCATCATTTTCAGCCAATCTACCAGATTAACCTGTAAACATTAAGATCCCATGTTTAATTAACCTGAAAAATCTCTTAAAAGGACTGCAAAATATATAAACATTAAGATTTCATGTTCGGTTAAAGATCATTCATCGTATCTGTGATTACATGTACCTCATGGGTAGGACGGCCATAATCCACTGGGTCTTTCCAACAGTACAACCCCAAAGCTATAGTCATCACTCTTTTCATTCAAAAGACCGGTATTTGCATATTCAGGAGCCACGTATCTGTGTAATCTCACAAGAGAAAAGTTGTCAAGAGATGACTAAAGGTCTGAAATATATAAACTTCAAGGCACACCAGAGAAAATAGATACCCAAATGTTCCCATAACTCGGGTTGTAACATGACTTTTCCCGGCACCTAACAACTTCGCCAGACCGAAATCGGAAACCTTGGAGTTGAAGTCATCATCGATCAGAATATTGCTGGACAACTTCGCCAGACCGAAATCGGAAACCTTGGAGTTGAAGTCATCATCGATCAGAATATTGCTGGACTTTATGTCTCGGTGCACCACCTTTGGTTCAATGGCCTGATGACGATGTGTGTAGATATAGCGACTTACGCCTTAGTTGTGCCGAGGAGAATCTTTACGCGATCCTCCCAAGTAAGATATCCGTGCTGACGCGTAGCTCCATGAAGCCATTGTTCCAAGTTTCCATTGTTGACATACTCGTAAACAACATCCTGGCATTTTTAAACAATGTCCCTTTGTTAACAGCATTATGCCAGAAGCTAATGGTGAGACTATTGTAACCAGACAAAAACATAGTCAAAGATGACTATACCTGTGTGTTCCTTCGATACAGTAACCTAACAAGCGAACCAAATTCTTGTGGCGCACATGCCCGATGGCTTCGACTTCCACTCTAAATTCTCTCTGCTTGGCCCCTACAAAGAAGATGATAAGTAGTTTAGCTAAACAAGACTCTGGGACAAGAAAATAATACCACATAACACCATACAAGTTGTTGAGTATCTTCTTAACAGCTACTTGAGTCCCGTTGATCAAATTGCCCCTATAAACAACACCATATCCACCCTCTCCAAGAATATTTTCCTTTGAAAACCGGTTAGTAGCAAGCTCGAGATCCCTCAATGTGAACCAGTGACCCCATCCCAAGTGAGAGAACTCAGGCAGGCTGACTAAAGGAGGAGCAGTGATGTGATATGAAGAAGACACTCTATAAACCGTCACGGTGCCGGAACTCCCTTCATCTCCTGATTGAGACCCTGCACCGTCTTTTTCGAAATGGTGAAATGAACCTGACTGACTACTATTGTCACCACCATTCCTTGATTTTCCCATCCCAAGATGAACCATAACCTTATCTGAGTCTTTGTCACTGGATTTGTCATGAATGGTGAGGAGTATACCGTCACGAGGCGCAAAATCGTTCGTCAATACTTTTTCGACCCTCACTTCCTTAATTTCCTTGGATATAGATGGGATTTGGGAAAGGGGAAGCTTATTTCTAGCTCTTGATTTCCTCTTCCGGGAAGTTAAACAAAATGGGAGCAGAGAAAGGATGATTATGATGAACAAAGCAACAACACCAACAATCTGCCAGACCTTAAAACCAACAATGGCAGTCTTCTTGGACTATTCTGTATTTAGATCAGTTGCCATCTCTGCTTCTCCTAATTGTTCACATGATTGAAAAAAAATCATCAAAATCTCCATTGCAAATCTTAAATTTCACTAATCATACACCATTTGCAAACAAGCAACCATGAAGAAGAAGCATCAAGCTATGCAAAAAAGACCTTTTTTAGCAGATAAACAGATCAGACAATTAAACCTCAGGACAAAAAAAGCAAGAAAACTGTACATAAAACAGAAGAAAATTTAAACAACAAAAAAAAGTGGAAACTCTCACCTTCCAGCAGTAAAGTTCAGAACTTTGAACAGATAATCTCAAATCTCAGACTAAAAACCCAAATAATGAAGCCCCAATTAGGTCATTTCCCAGAAAAAAAAAAAGTTAAATAGGTAAAAGAGGAGGATTGTTGTTCTGGGTCGTTGAGGAAGATGAAGCTAAGCTACAATGGAGCTATCTGGTACCAGAGACAATGATCCTTGTAAATGGAAAAGGCAGAAATGACAATGAAAGGCTTGAGAATGGATGAATTGAGGGGTGAGGGTTACATAGAGTCGAGTCGAGCTAAAAAGATCAAAATTTCGAGTCGAATCAAGATTTGCTACCCTCTAAATCAAGTAGATGGACATGGAAGTAGGGCTCTTTTGAGAAGGTCAGTGGTAGGTGTTGTGTTTACATGCCTTGCACCAAAATTAACATGTTTACTAACACCTACTGTAAAACACAAGCAATGAATTTGAGGCACGCATTTCTGCAAATATCTTGAAAACAGAGAATTCATGATGGTTTAAGTTTGTGATTAAATTGAAATCTATAATATTTAAGTATAACTGTACTTGGTGTTTCTTCTTGTTTTACCTGCATTCATGTTAAGCAGAACATGAAACAGGCAGCCATGTACAGCAGAAAGCCATAAATGACGACATTATGGATAAATGAAGGTACTACATCTATATCCACCTATCATGGTTAATAATTTCATGGTGTGATCACTATCAGACCCACATGATTTACGATCTACTATCTGACAAACTCAAATGATGCGACTCTATCAACTTAAAAATAGCGTCATCATGTCTGATGCTAATACTAAGAGTTAATATTTAAACCACCAGACAAGGTTGACTGTGAGGGTCGAGATCTATCTCTCTCGAAATTTCTCTCTAGGTTTTTCATCCATATCTCTCATCCTTTTCAATCCACTAAACCATTGTTTGTAATTCTTCGTCCAAATCATAATTCAGAAGGATGAATTGCTAATAGTCGTCATCTTCGTAATTTTTTAATCAATAATGACTCGTCTTCAACTGCTACAAACGCTATTTTCTCATCGACAGGATCGTATCATATCGAGTCGAGTTCAGCAGGCTCCCTCTTGTGACAACAGATTTCAACTTTACGTGTAAAAAGCAATACAACTAATAACTACAAAAAATCCATTGGAGGAGAGGGGACCATTGGCCAGGTCCACATGCCTTGAAACACTATATATTAATGTGGGCAAGTAGCAGTGTTTTCTTTCAGAGGCAGGGTTAAAATGGTAATTGCAGGATGCTTGTCTGGCAGTTTCCTATCAGCTGGTTGCTTGTCTGCTGCCTACCTAATTGTGCGTTATTATAGACTCTGAAACAAACCCATTGTATCCCATACATATATGCTCTAAAAATTATAGGTAAAGTAGAAAAATGATTTTCCGATTATAAGGTAATATTTTATTAAGTCCATTAATTATTAAAAATTATAAAATGTTTCCTCAACTATAGGAACTTATTTAGTTGAGTCTCTCGACTATTAAAAGTTACAAAATGATCACCTACCTATTAATTATGTTCCAAACTCGTTCTTTTTTGTTAAAACTTTGATGATAATATGAGCTGCACGTTAACATGTTGACTGAGATATGATAAAATCTCAAATGACTATCATATCTCGGTCAACATATTAAGGGAAAAGGACAAGTTTGGAACATAATGAATAGTCGAGTGATTGTTTTGTAACTTTTAATAGTCGATGGACGCAACAAAACAACTCTATATAGTTGAGGGATCATTTTGTAACTTTTAATAATCAAGGGACTCAATAAAGCATTATCTTATAGTCAAGGGACCAGTTGTGTGCTTTACCCAAAGTACTAATGTACAATAATCACATAAATTTTGATTATATTTAAATTTGGATTCGGAATAAATCTTAAATAAAAGTAAAACTTTATTTTTTTATCAAAATTTCAAAAAAGTAAAGAAATACTAAATTATAAAAATGATGAATTTTTTTTATTTGAATGGAACCCTCAAAACAAATCCTAAAACTAATTTATCACGCTCGCTTTTATTGACCGCTAATGAATTAAGGGCAAGCTACATGTTTAGTACCCCAATATTAATTTTATTTCATTTTGGTCAGTCAATTATTCAAAATCATATCTAAT